ACACACATATATATATATATATACACACACACATATATATATATATATATATATATATATATACACACACATACATACACACACATATGAAAGAAAAAAAATTAAGACTTTTAGGCGCATAAAGCAGTATTCCACTCATACAAAGCACCTATAAGTTATAAAAAAAAAAGAAAATCCTTATAGTGAATCCTTATGAAAGCAAATGGTTGAACTTGGGAGAACATCATGAATTTCTGTACAACTCAAACGGATAAGCGATCATCCACAGCTAAACACAGAGTGCCAAAACGGACCAGAATGGAAGTCCAATGCCTCACACTGAAAAATTACAACGTTTCTTAAAATAAATATCTCACATCTGCTAAAAATAAATAATGATCTTAACACTTCACTATGGCAAATGCAAAATGAAAAATAGAAATCGCTGTGCACTACATCGTTGAACGGGCAAGTGTTTCTTTAAAGCACTACAGTTGGGAGACAGAACCTTCTGCTGTTACCTTGAGGTAGATAACGCCTTTACGAACCTACAGTTAACGCATCGCAAACCAACAGTTAATGCTTGCTGGGCTGGCATCACGTTTGAGGAAGTTTACAGTATGAACAAAATGACAAAAGGCTTCGCTTTTAAATGGAAATGAGGTGAAAAAAGTCAAATAAATACATTAGCCTTAATTAAAACAACAGTTAGAGAAAGGCCAAGACGCACTGCTTGTGTCAGTCCTATTGGCTGTCAGTCAGAAGGTCACATTATGATGTCAATGGCGGCGTCTCCCACACGGATAATGCATTATTCCGCCCTCTTTATCTCTACTCCTTTGCTTACAAATGAATAAACCATCTATTTCGCTACTAAACAGTCGTTCCTCTGTCTTTCCCTAATATGTTTCTGAATCTACAGTACACTCTGTGCAAATGTCATGGTGTTAGTTTTTTTTTTTATATATATATATACACAAGATCAGAGTTGAAAAGGGCAAAAACATATTTCATGTGTAGGAACACAGTCCAGCACTTTGGATGAATTTACGAAATGAATTAATTTACATTTAATCCACAGATAAAAAAAAAAATGAAATGAGTTTCCTTAAAAGTAACCATATGTAAAAAGAAAAAAGATTCAAGTACAGAAATACATAACTCTATAAAAAAATAAGCTGGACTCTGCTTGAACAGGGTGGATTTTTTAATTTAAATGCTTAAAAATGCTGCTGTATGTTTTATGGGCGATTTGTGGGGAGAGTTTAACAGCAGAGGGCGTTAACGTGGCCTGGATGGACTTCAGAGGAATGTCACCTGCTCCCTCGAACCCCGGAATGGCCAGAGACTCCAGCTGCATGTTAATGACAATCTCACCACCGCAGGATAAGAAGTCATCCTCCGGTGTGGACTCCTCGACAGGTTCGGGGATCTCAGACTCTACCTCCTCACGCATGTTGAAGAGGCGGTCTAAGTAACTGCTCTGGCAGCTGTTGTTCTCCTTCTGGAGCTGCTCGTCTTTGCGGACGTCCCAGCAAGCCTCATCGATTAGGCTGCTCTCGGTAACGTCGCTGTCCGTGAAACTCTCCCAAGGACAGGGTGCTCGGACACCGAGCTGCGCCAGGTTCACTAGACACTTCTCTTCTTTTTCCTGACTGATGGACTTGGACATGGAGCCGCAAGGAGTATGGGTGTCCAGCTGGGAAACGGAGGTGTTCAACTCATTCAGGAGGTCAACTTCGCCGGATTCTGGCTGAAGGCTCATTTTGATAGTGCTGGCGATAAACGAGTCAAAGTCGAAGCCCTGGCTGTGGTTCTGGTGTTTTTCCTGTTCGCGATCCTTCTCGGCCACGCAGTGGTTCTGCAGGGCGATCTGGGCCTTGACCAGTCCATTCTTCTCACACTTGGTCTTGCTTTTTTTGTCGTTCTTCTCTTTGTTTTGCTGCTCTTTCCAGTTGGAGAGGTCAATGATGAGTTTGGGCTCATAGTAGTGGTTCACCTCACTGTCCCTCCAGATCAGATTGTCCAGGTAGGATGGGGACACAGCTTTGTAGTTGCAAGTGTAGCTGCACTCCTGGTCGCAGTATTTGTTCTCATGGTGATCTTCCTGTTGCCACGAGTGCTCTAGGGGGAGGTCGAACGATGGATCTTCTAGGAACTTCTCACACTCCCCATCCATGTATTTCCGTGGATCGATCTGGACCTCCTCCTCGTCCGTGACATCTGACATAGCTCGAGGATCACGCTGCACATCTTCCAGTTCATGGGTGCTGTGCAGGTGCCAGTCTTGATCAGAGAACTGACTTTCATGGTACCTACAGTGTGAAGGAAAAAAAAATATATTATACCATCGGCAAGATGGCAGCCAGGAGAACTTACTTTCCTTACACCCTCTATGCTCTAAGACTCATGACCTCAAAGAATGATGAGCCAAATACTGGTATTTTTCCATTGGGTGAAGCTCACCTGTCCCAGTTGTAGATGTGACTGTGACTCTCATCCATGAGCAAGATGTCATCCACCTCATCCTCGATGTGGAAGGGGTGCAAGGACACTGGTTCATCCAGAGGGAAGGAGTAATCGCTCATGTATGGGTGTGCAAGAGCCTCTTCCGCAGTGAGCCGGTCCATGGGGTTAAATGTCAAGATCTTCTCCAGGAAATCCAAGGCTACAGTGAACAAATGACCAATAATACATGAGATTTAGACTGCCATTCGTGTTTCCTTTACCAACTTTGGTTTAGTACAAAAAGTAGCAAAATTGAGATAATTTTCTAAAATCCTATGAATTGCTGCTGAGTAAAGGGAAGGGAGTGAGCGAGCAAGAGAGAATGGTATGCAAATTTCAAATGAATTTAAGCATCTATGAAATTAAGTTTCTATGAATTGCATGCATTCTGCAAAAATGCTTGTGTAACTAACCCTCAGGGCTGACACCAGGCAGTAACTTGGCGAGTGGCGAGTGTGGTTCTGACATGTCGTTCTTGATAAAGACAGGAATTACACTTTGGAGCTCCAGTCTGTCTTCCTCATGGACTACCGGAATGGATTCCAGAATCAGCTGCATCTGTTCCAGCTCATGAGCTCCTGTGCACACATACAAATGTTTGATTCAGAAAAACTGTGTCAAGGCAACTCCAGTCAATATTTGGCACAAGAGACATTTGCATACTTAAAGAAACCGGTCTAGTTAGTGTGCATGTTTGAGTTTGGCAAGACCATTGGTTAATATTAGTCTCAGGGTCCCAACACCAATTTGAATAATGAATTTCCATGACTCTCCCATTTGTCTAGGATTACAGGATATGCACTTGTAAAAATAAAATTTACAGAGACTGAACTCACAATTAAAATTCAGATATTTCCATGGCAGTGGCAACCCTGTAAACCACCTGTGCCAAAACTTGCATCCACTAAAACACATGAAAATCAACAGTTCTGCCCTAGTTTCCGAAGTTTTGAGTTCACAGAAAGAGCTTCTCTCTTTAACTACTACAAAAGGGAAGAAAAAAAACACCTCGTCCTACTTTATTATAATACACCAAGAACACAGGAAATGACCCTCAACTACCTGATCATTGTGTGTGCAAGATAAGATAGCGTCACAAAGAAATGAACTACAATTTCAGAATAAAAGTAGACAAACTGATATAATACAAGATCATAGGATTTATTTAGACAGACACACACACATTTTAGAGGTACCTGCAAAGAGTGTTTTTCCAGTCAGCATTTCAGCAAAGATGCACCCAGCAGCCCACATGTCAATGGCTTTGGTGTAGTTATTTGGGGAAAGGAGCAGACGAGGAGAACGATACCATTTAGTGACCAGTCCCTCAGACAGATGCCCCTATGGGAGAGAGAGAACATTTATTACGACCAATGTCACAGTGTCAGACAAGGATCCTTGGAAATAACACTGCAGTTACAAACCATCCTTCAAAGGCTTGCAGAAACACATATTTATGGCATAACACCCACTACATCTTGAGCAGTTAATAATTCACGTTGTTCATCTAATTTCATTCATTGACAAGGTAATGCGCCACATGGCATATATAAAACACTCAGGACAGCTGTACCAGACATTTCCAGGCTAAAAGCAGGGCTACCAGCTCCAACACATGGCCCAGTTTAGCCTTAAGTTGAAAAGACAACATTTAATACTCAGTCTACAGCTGTGCCCCAAGATACAAAACCTGTTCCAAGAAAGATCTAAAGGACAAACAGAGAGACAATGACTGAAGGATGACACAAATGGACAGACAGACAGATCGAGACAGATAAGCAGTGCCTCTGGACAAAGAAGGATAATCTGTCTCGTGCCTGACACAATGGCAGACAGACAAGTCAGTAGCCACTGTCGGGCCAGTGTGAGCCAGGGATACCAATGAGTCAGGCGGGTCCAATAGCCCCGGACCTCAAGCCGCGAAGCCAAAATCAAGCTGCGTTTCCACTGTCTTCCACCAGGGCTACTCTTAAAACTAGGGATGCACCACTGTATCGGACGATTTTCTCAATTTACAACCATCGGCATATCGGCTATATAAGGAAAAAGGCAGATATAACCAATTTAATTTATACAGTGAAGTGTTATTTTACATTTGTTTACTTTATTTCTGTACCTGAAAACTGTTAAACCTACCTAAAAAGCACTGTTTATTTAATTTGTATTTATGTAGGCCTGCTGAATGTTAAATGGATCCAATCCATGTTCATTAGAAATTATTTGATGATGCAGCAATAAAACTGCTAGTATAATTTAATCCAGGTGTTTTTGAACTTTGCTGATTTAAAACATTTGAAATTTTGGCTTCAAAATAGTATTTTGATCATAAGAGAAGAAGTGACCAATATCGGTATAGGAATCGGCCAATAAGTGATTGTTAAAATCGGTATCGGCCCCAAAAAATCCTATTGGTGCATTCCTACTTAAAACCCGCCTTTACCATGCCTCTGTGAAGCAAACGTCACACAAACCCACAACTTCACCAGCGAGGGCAAAGTGAAAGAAAACTATAAATCACAAAATGAACTTGACAGAAGCTGACGTTTGATCCTTACATGAAGACTTAAAGCCTTCAGCATCTACCGTATTGGCCCGAATATAAGACGACCCCCCTTTTTCTAGATGTACCTTTTGGAAAAAGGCTTTTTAAAAAACAAATCTTGTTTTTTCTCAGTAAAACACATTTTGTCTTCAATTATTTTCATATTGCATATTTTTCCTATTTTCATTTTTGTTTTGAAAGTATGGTAAAAACTGGTCAAATATACCAACAATCACATTTAAAAAATATACACTTTTTGAAATACCATAAATAAAAAAAACAGGTAGCCCACCTGAATTAGAACATTTAGGCTATCCATCGGATAGTAGCCCACCAATATCTTATTAACAGTAGAAGTTAAATCTTACTGTAGGCTAGTCTTCAAATCTGGGTACTGTCTTATGTTTTAAAATCATGGGAGTTTAGTCCCATCAGGCTAACGTCACAGTCACAACTCATGCAGCTGTAAGGTTTTCTTTCTTTTGTTTTTACTCGCTATCTTTACAACACGCATTACATTACGTATTTCATGGCACACTCGTTTTAATGCGTATTTAGCGCCACCTATTGTTGTGGGTGTATTATTGACATGTCAAAGTCTAGACCCTGAATATAAGACGACCACGTTTTTTCAGTTGTATTTCCAAGAAAAAAACATCATCTTATATTCGGGTCAATACGGTATTTTTATATGCTAATGATTTACGATAAAAAAGTCATTTATTAATTTGTCAGCATGCTAAATCAAACTGATTTCACATAAAAAGAGAACACATACTTGTTCAGTCACAGCTGCTCCGTTTATTTGTGATGACAGGAATGCACAAAACAAAAGCCCTAATGTCGTTAAGTCCAAATGCGTACACAACACAATAGAAAAATACTGATAAACCCTCAAGTTTACTTCAACTCTCTTTAGAAAGAATGAGCATTTGGATTTATTTTCCACGATGCATGCGATCTGAAGAGGTTTGAGCGCTGTTTACCGTCTCTCATTATACTGTTATCCTTTCAGCCAGAGCAACAGAGGGAGCTCACAGACAGAAAATCAGAGTTATGAGTTACAGTATTTATGACATGCGGAAACAAAAGTATGGTATCAACAAAGACACAGAAAAGAGACAGAACAAATATAACAGCAAATAAGCACATGATTATAATCATATAGTGTGGTATATATATATATATCATATAGTATGATTTATCTAAGTTCTTCATGCTGTCTCTGGCATTTTTATAAGCATAACATGTTACTTATGACAGCGATGGGTGCTTCCCCCTTTAGGTGGCTCTTATGGGGGGGGGGTTTATTTTATTTGAGGGGCGAGTTAGGGTATTTAAGACATTTTTAAACTACAGTCAACCAACCTAAACCGGTGTTTTACAATGTTGTTGATTCATATTTATCTTGTGAAGAAGATACTTAAAAAAAACAACAACTTTGATTTCAAACTCTGAATTGAATTTATTTTAACTAAAAAAAAGACGTAAACTGTCAGTAATAAAATAAGAATAGATAATGACAAGCAATGGCACAAACAAATAAAATAACAAGATACAACTAAAATTAACTGTGCTTTAAGTTTTTCCAAGTTTTACAGTAATATCCAGGCACAGAAATACTACAAAAACAGAGTAATCTATTTAACTTTAAAATAATACTGGTTAGTCTTTAATGTATAAATAAACAATGACTGACAGCAGCAGGTTTATTTAGGTTGCTGTCTCTTTAAGACCTCATGCATGGATCAAACTGTTACACAAGTTTTGTTTCGCGACTGTTTACATTATATGAGCAAATGATACATTCCGTCAGCTAGAGGGAGAATGAAACATGCACGCTGAACACTGACAGGCGGTGCGGTGCGGCATATTAGGGCTATCAACAAAAAATTGGAATTTAAAATTTGTCAAATTTAAAATAAAAATCTGCATTCGAATTTTAGGTGTGCGTTAAGGAGGCAGCCTTATCAGTGGCGCACGAGATGCGATGATGCAAGTGTCATTGCATTATAATGTTTTTGTTAGCCTATCCAGTTGAAGCCACTAGATGCGGCGCTGATGCATTGTTAATTACAAATATTGCGGGAAAAGAGAACATCAATGCGGAGGTCATCTTGTTTACGTCAAAACTGAAACAAAGCCGTTCACACAGAACGCATATTCCGTGCATTTTCTAGAGGGACATCTATTACCGTTGCACTCGCGTCTCGACAAAAGAGTGTTTAGAAAGACATGTAAAGCTAATGCAAGTTCAACTTTGAAAAAACATCGAGACTTTATGTCGGGGTTTTTTCCCCATTCCACTGCAACTCGTGTTTTTATATGAAAAATGTACTCTCTGTGATTGGCTTTCGGCCCTTTGTATTAAACTATGAATACATACATGATGCTGTTTTGTTTATAGTCGTTTAAGCAACTTAATTATAACTGGTTTATAAACATTAAACATGATGCACTTTTTTTTCCCACAGTCATATCTTATGCTTTGAAAAAAACGTGCATTAGTAATATTTTGCTCGATGCGCCCTCTTGTGGCCTCAGGAGAGAAGCCAAAAGCTTTTCTTCACCCTAACTGAAATTATGCATTTTAAATTCGAATATAATTAGAACTGATAATATTCGAATTTAGTTTTTCAGCCATTTTGACAGCCCTACGGCATATATTTTTGGCAGCCGAAATTTTGATGCATCCCTAACGCTTGCTTTTGGCCCGACAGTGGAAACACGGCTAGTGACATCAACCTGCATGTATGGGTCACCGTTCATACTAAACACCCTCACACAAACTCAGTGTATCCATCCAGTGGCCCAAAACAAACAAAGTCTAGTGATTCTTGAGGCCGGAATTTTCCCCACAGTTCAGTGTGAGGGCTATTTTTGACTCCATGGTCCTGTTCTTTTCAGGGTGTGTGTCAAACTGTTAAACCCAGATTACAGCAGACCATATGTTCACAATTGGCCATTGAAAAAACTTTTCTGGAGCAACAAATACCATCACAGCCTGACAGACTAAGAAATCAGTTCACACCATCACAACCTGACCTCAGTGTCCTTTCACTCCCTCTTAAAACAGTACAGATGCTTAGAAGAACACCAACTTAAAGGATTACAAAACAATCGTCATAGTCATAGTTTCTGCGTAAAAGGTCTTGTGCAGGGTTACCTAATGCAATGAGAGCAGATTACCTGGAAGTAGATTACCAAAACTCAGATCACATTCTACGCAAAGAAGAAGAAGAAAAAAAAGATCCTGCTAAAGGATTAAACTTAAACCTCAGCATCCTAAAGACACCAGACGTAAGCCCAATCAGAGAAGAAAACCAAAAAGCAAACGCCTGTAATGACAAACTTAATCTTTAGATTTTTACATCGCCTAAACAAAATGTGATCTGTGCTTTCATGAAGTCACTCCTTATTGGCCCAGGTCAAAATACCATACACACAGGTCTGTAAATATGGCATCGGGGTCCTTTCATCACCGCAAGTAATAGCACAACTCTAAACATGCTGCAGGATTTGATGCATCAAAGGACTGCACGATTAATCAAACATAAAACTAATTATGGCTTAGAGTGATCATCAAATTGCAAAAAGCAACAATTTAAATAAATGCACAGCCCATTTCAGAGTGAAGCATGGCACTGTGTTCTTAGAGTTGAGGAGCTAATTATTTGAACATGGTTTGCAGGGTCTCAGAACAGTCCGAATGTATGTATGTATGCATGTATGCATGTATGTTCTTGATTGCGAACAGGTGTGGCAGTAATCAGGCCTGGGTGTGGCTAGAGAAATTGAA